CGTTATGTTGAGTTTGAGGTCTGGCGCCCTATGAGACGGTAAACACATGCAGGCATTTTGGAAATTCTAACTAAAAGTAGAAACTCATATTTTAATCGACATCTTCCGTTGCGTTGCCGTCGTGACTGCTTAAGTTCCCTAATTTGTTTAACCACCAAGAGCCGAGCTTTAGGTGGCGATCATTGCCTTTTCTCATGACGTCATTTTGTTATTCAGTGGTGATATTGTAAGGAGAAATTAAATGCTTTTCATTCTTAGGGTTCGAAGGGTTTATCTCCATTTTTAGTCTCCTTTTCGATACCGTGCAACACTCCCTCCCGCCCCACCCTTCCCCCCCCTTGCTAAAGAGAAAGAATTTCTCATGGGAGGGTTGCGTGATATCACGAAGAGCGCTGGGAAAGGAAAGTTTTTCTTTCTCCTTTTACTACGTCACGTGTGAACGAAATAAGTTTTAACAACGAGAATGGGTCCAATTTGCTGTTTTTCCATCTTCTCCTTCGGTGTTTTCAAGTATATTTTATCATATTATAGGAAAAAAATTCACAATATTATGACGTTAGTAGCTCCTTTAAAGTCCTCGTTATCCTTTATCAGGTACAGATTGCTCTTGGTACGGTTCGTGTAATTGGCCTTTGGCAAAGTTCGACCTTATTGTTAGGGTGCACTGTACACGTGATAGTCAAGTGGTTTGCCAAAACAGAAATACGACAGGCAAGCATTTCAAGAACTCTTGCGAAATTGACCAATATGCCTTCGAATCTATTTCTAAGGAAGTCTCAATACCCAGTAAACACTAAAAAAAAACACTGTACACGAGTGGTTAGTAACAAGTAATGCGTATAATGCAAATAATGCCAGAGGGAAAATGTGAATCGATTATTAGTTTTATTCTAGAACATAATATTAGCCTTACTGACCCCTTCAGCAAGTCACTGACTTTTCTATTGTTGGCTAATCAACGTACATTCTCTTCTATCTGGACGGTCACATATACGAAAAGAATCATATTTGTTGCGCGTTACAAATCGGCATTTATCGGAGGACAGCTATGAGCCCTTGGGGATGATTGGAGAAAAAATCTAAGAAGACGAACCTCGCATAGTCTCAATATCAACAGATTTTGTATGGTTTCCTGCCACGTTTTTACAGCCGCAGTTGCTTCGGAGTCTTGATTTCCTTAGCATGAATGGAAACGAAGATCACACAGAAGATATTAGAGACGTTTTCTCAGGATATCTCGAAGGTAATATTCACCTTTCCCTTTGCCATTAAATTCCGTCCTTGTTTAATCCGTTATCTCTCCCAAAGACGATTCTAGATTTGTTCAGATCTCTACTCGATGCTGCCTCCCATAAATTATTTCTGCGTTACAGTTTCGGATCGGAGTTAAAAGTTGCAACGAGTCCTTCTCTTTCGTGCTCAGACAGTTGCCATTTGTCAGTCTCTTCTTGTTTTTATTCGATTGATGTTTGCGTGGGATGACCTCGTCAGGGATTGACAATAGAATATCATCATAAATAGGGTCATAGCTGTGAGCGTAGCATCAAAGATAGGGCATTTAACGAGAGATCTTTTTACAGCACAACTTTTCAAAAAATCGTCGAAAAATTAATAAGCACACTTTCACTGGGCACAGTGAGAGAATTTTGTTATTTACTGTTGCTATGAATGTTTCCCTTTTTTTTCGTTTTGAGATGAGGATGTTACTTTTCTTTTTGTAGCAGCGGTTATCAAAGGTGTAAAAAATTGGTGTGAAATTTGAGAGGCTTGGTGTACGCGCGCGAAAAACTCCTTCTTTCGCACGCAATGGGGTAGTAGATCGAAGCACCTCTTGTCCAACCCACCAACGTCGTTGCAGCCTTTAACAAAAAAGCTAGGAAGTCTACTTAAATATTATTTCGCGAATGATTCAGGGGAATGATGGTGGCGCATATCCGTTAGGATATTGCGTAACCAGGATGGAGGTGCAATACACTTTTGGAGGTGTCATTTAAGCAAAGATCTCTGATGACAATGCACGTCACGTGCCAATTTATCTATGAGCGGTCCCTTGGTAGTTAGTCCCAGGACACACAAATCTCGCAGCGGCTTTTGGATTTGCGCTTTCTGTTGACTTAGTGATCTGAAAATGACTTATTAAGCGTGAAGAGAAGGCTGGTTGCCTTTGGTTTGACGACTCAACGAGTTATGAATCACTCAGACGATCCTAGCTTACAGTCAACTTTGGGTAGGTTTGGCGAAATTTTGTCATCGAAGCGTAGTTGTAGTTGATACAGTCACCTAATGGACCGCAAGGTGTATTATTTCAATCTGGGAAAGCATTCGATGGTACTTAGTTCTGTTTTTCTGCGATTGCAGAGTTAGATCCCGATGGACTTCTCCTCTCAAACTTGTATGAATGTTTCTCCTCCGACGAGAAAGTCATGGCGGACGGGTAAGGCGTTAATCTTTTGTGAATTCGTAATTTAAAGTTTTACGCAACGTACCCGATCCTTTGTGTGTCGCTCAAACGGAAACTTAATATCCCGCGAAAAATACTTGTTGGGTCCGAGCATGTCTAACCCTTTGACATTTAGTTTTTATTGAAAGCTGTTTTAAGTTAAGTTGTTTGGTAAACTTCGCATGTTAACTCAGACATGTAGCAATACCAAATCTGAATTGGAGCCCGCCTTTTGCCTCTAGAAACCGCTAGAGATGAATTTTTAACGCGTCCGAAATAACTTTTCAATTTCACATCAAAGGTTTTTTGTTTTTTTTTTTTACAAAAGGGTCGTGAAATTCGCGGAACTAGGAGGGAATTATGACGGAATCTGAAGGTTAATTAGGTGTAATAAGTTTGGCCTAACTCGGCAGTGATTAAAATTATACGATGACCTGCTCTCTCTCGAATTTATGTTAGAAAACGAACCGTTAGCAGAGCTTTAAGATAGAAGAAAACCATACACATTTTATCTTCGTTCTGTTATGTGAAGGAAAGTTTTGGTATGCAGTGTGGACATAAAAAGTACGCTGTTTGAACCACGCGCCAAAAATGATTTACCATCGTATCCTATCCAGCTTATAGGCACGGGCAAATTTTGTTTTCGTTACATTGTTGCATGCGATGTGTTAATGAATTGAAGATGTCTTGTAATGTCTTTTTAATCACGGTTTCTGAACTTTACTTCTCGTTGCTTGAAGTTCGAATTATTATTTAGAGTGCCGGAAGTGTTTGATTTTGTGTGCACATGGAGCTGTTTGTTTTCAGCCCTAGTACCATTCGAACACAAGGTTTTTAAAAATGCAATAATCTCACTAGAAGAGGAAATATTAAGTTGTCGCTCATTGAAAAAGGTTAAAAATACCAAAATGATTAATCGATCATGATTATTCTTGTGCTTGAACAAACACTCCAAGAACACTGGTGGTCAGATGCGCTCTCGACGTCACTTCAACACGAAAACCCAAACTTTGAATTCACTCTCACAGATTTGGCGATTTTTGTTTTAGGCCATTATCATTCTTGGTTATTTCTTTAATAACTCTTAATTGTTTACGCTTTTCATTGGCATATAGAGTTTGATTATTACAGCAATAAACCAAATAAGCTTAATCATTAGGCTTCGATTAACTTGGCAATTTTTTCATTGCGCGCACTTTACTTGTTTACAAAAGGTATTGTTTTTCACGATTATGTCAAGCATGAATTGTTTTTGCCATTGTTTTTAGGAGATTTTTGCTTCTTCTGGAAAAATCCTTTCTAAAAATTGCATTTCAATTACTTTAAAAATCTCAAATATTTATATTTTTCCTCATCGTTTCGCGTGACTTCTCGTTAAAACGCATTCGGGTTCGCATCGGCGCTTCTGTTTTAAGAAGTTTCAGCGGAAATACCTTCAGGCAGCTGAGATAACTTTGAGAGACCTTTGACTTGTGCTTGCGGGCTGTATGTAACAAGATACAGCGATTTATAGTGATGTTTTGTTTGCATATTCCTTGTAATTCCGTGAGAAATTGTCCTAAGTCGCTTTGTGACATGAACTCTCCAAATTCGTTGTGGCCTCACGCAGTCTTGTGTTTTCAATCATACTCCTAAAGCATTGAAATCTATACCAAACAAAGTTTATTTACTTTTGTTTGTTATGAGATTCATAAAGCTGCATGCTTTTACGATTATTTTGAGATGACAAGAGAAATAAAAAATTACGTGACTGACCATTGGCGATCGAACATCGTTTTCACGAACTTGAACTGATGAACTTGTATTGCATGATATTGCAAAGCCTGTCAAATAAAATTTGGCAGGGTATATATGGTGAAGGTTTGAGAGCAATTCATGTTCTCTACTTTGAATATACTTGCAAATGGAAGTAAAATATTTGCACGGTCTCATAGTACACATGCTCTGTTTTCGTTATGCTCTTTTTACTTTGGAAGATGTTTTTATAGTTCGATTTTCACACAGGTATTGAGTTTCTTTATCAGAAATTCCACAAGTTGTTAGGCGTGGGCTAGAATACTGGTAGATCACTCTTGGAGTCGTACAGACTTCTGATTTGAATTATTGTGCTGATATAAACAAGGTGTTTTTAAGAATGACAGGTGTATTCTTTTTCAAGTCAAGATTAAAGGATCACATCGTAGATTATATTTTTTCTAGATAAAATGTTTACACAATCGATTCTCTCCCAATGTTTATTACTGAATCAAGATATTTTTTCTCAACTTGTTTAAACCTGTTTATTTCAAGTACCTTGTAATAAGGTATTACCAGAAGTTTATAGGAAGAGTTTATTCTTGGTGCTGGACTGGGAAAAAATGAATTTAGAACTTGAGAGTTTTTAAACCCAAGGAGGAATGCTTCATGAATTTATGAGAGATATACCTAACTGTTGAATGATATATATTATATATTTTTTTGTTTTTAATGCTGTGAAAACTTGAAGTTGTTCCAGAGATGGTTATACTGTAGATATTGTGGTGAATTGTTCATGAAATCTGTTTATGACAGAGAATCAAACTCCCATTCTTTGCTACACTTGTTTACCTGAACATTTTTACCTGCTTAATATTGTGTTAAAGATGGTGTTATTGTATTGCCCAACTTAGAACATAGAATACATATCTACATGTGTATATTGTTTGACCCTTTTGGTAACTGGTACATCCTTGTAGATATATTTACATGTAACTGGTACGGAAAGGTTTGAATTCAGCTGATAAATATGCTTTGAATATAAAGTTTGAACAACCAGTATAATCTCAGTGAGCTTTATTTTTAGCATAATACATAATGCATATACATAGAATTGAGTATGCACTTGAGTTTTATTTCAGAGGTTTGAAATCTCTGCTATCAGAAGCTGTGCAAGTAGTAATGCTTAATCATGCCATATTTGTTTATATATGCTTTCTAAACAACGCACCAGGTGTATTGTATCATGTGTGCTCATTCTACCAGAGTTAAACAATAACTTTTTAACTCCCTTTTAAAGCACATTGGGAGGAAAATGTGATAAGAATAAGTCTCAAATACCTGCCTCTTCTACACTGTACAAATAGGACACTTATTTTTTAATACAAGTATGCATTGTAGAACATTTTTTAAACACGCCCAGATATTTTTTGTCATGGATTATGTATTGAAGAAGCCACAAATATATGGACAAACTGGACCAATGAATATATTGATACCTCAGCAAAACGTGACATGGCCCCCCTGTGTTTGATACCTTATTGTTGAGGTTTAGCCAATTAGTATTGGCTACTTTAGAAAGTCATGATAATTTGATGATTAGATTAGCTCCACAAAAATGTTCGTAAGCTGTTGAAGAAACCTAGCACAAACTAAACAGCCAAAACATCACCAAGATACAACAGTGCAAATGTAGTACTAACTTGTGTATAGAAATTCTCAGAATGCAATGCTTTGAACAGCTCAACATTGCCAGTCACATACAGAAAGGTTGCATGTAATGTGCTAGCAAGCTTATAAATTTAGGAGGGTCTGAGTGTCTGTCTATTGATCATTTGTCCATCTTGCAAGATTCATTGCCCTTCATAATAATTAGACGCTCCTCTGTTTATTTTATAAATTTAAGCCATAGCATCAGGCTAACTATATCCTTGACACAAACTGGCACTTTGAGCCTTGTGGAATGTCTTTGCAAGATTAGCCTGTAGGTCATAAAATATTATGCATGAAAAAGTTTTAGGTATAGAAACCAAATACTCTTTCCAGCAAAAGTTTATTACAGGATTCATTTTATTGGTTCCAGATCAAACGTATGGGTGTAGCTAAATCCAAACTTTCCTGTTGAAATGGAATGGATACAAATCATTCTAGTTCTTACAGCAGGGCTGAAAGCTTTCAGCAGCTTTTTGAAACTGTCTTCAAGAGTTATTGATTTGTTCATTTGACTGTTTGATTCACCTTCTGATGGGGTTTTGTTCCAATTATTGTTTAATGTTTTTGTATTTGTAGGTACATGGAGGGGACAGGGCAGTTAAATTTTGGATTTTCAGCAGATTTTACAGCAAACCTGTCTTTGAATCCAGGACTGCAATGCAATGGTATGTTTTCGTGTCAATTTCTTTTTTAAGTTATCAGTGGAAAACAGATTCTTAGTCAGTTTTTTATTTCAAAAAAGTCAAAGAAAACAAATAGGGCAAGGACAATTAATAAACACATGTAGATTTTTCCAGGTTTCTTATTAATAATTGTTATGCTTTGGTGTAATTTTTAGAGTAAGCCATTTTGTTTTCGTCTTGCAGGAATCTTGGGCTTTCCTCTAGAAGGACAAGGCACATCAGTTGGGCAGTAAGTACTTGATCAAATACAATTACACAAGAAAAATATTGTTAGTTATTAAAATAGTACATCAGAAAGCTATTTTCTCTTTTGTTCACGGTACATCCTTTTTTTCAGTCTATTGATGATGTTAATGATGTATTTGCATTGCATTGATTCCAAATACTTCGGAGAAGTTTGGTTATGACTGATTTTTTTGTCAATGCATGCAGAATTGTGAACACATATACATACATAGGTTAATTGACCACTCCCCATAGGAGCTTTTCAGGGCCAACACCTACCCATCCCACCCCAGAGGAGGACATCCACCACACAGTTGTTTCGTGTGTGGGAAATTAACGTCTCCTACCCCTAACCCTGCAGGAGACGGGGCCTATGGTTTATTCATCCTTATCCAAGAAGACTAGAATATCTATCCATTTCTTGTTATAGAAAGGTAGCAAATTCTCCTCAGTTATTTTAAGACCATAAGTATTGGTCTGGCTGGGGCTTGAACCCTCGACCTCCTGAACAACACAATCTGGCATTCTCACCAATTGAGCTATATTCTGCGTGAATTTTTGTATTGTCTACAGAGATGTGGTGAATCAATCCTTAACTCCCCAGATCTGATTGTTAAATCTTCATTTTTGCTGCTTCAAATTTTCTTGGAAATTAGTCTGGAGAATACAGTGTTAGATCTAAATAACAACTTCATTCTTATAATCTGTTACTTATAATCTGTTACTGAATCAATGTATGGACAAAATATGGAGAAGTTACTTGTGAGAGTTATGTGGTTAACTTTAAGCCTTCAGGACCTTAAGGGGTTAAATGTCATGACAACTAGCAAGATAAACTGTTGTGATTACCAGTGAGGTAAGCTGAGAATACATGGCTGTTAGATTTCTAAAGTGAAGTGGATCTCTATAATTCCAAAAGCTTTTACTAAAATCTGTTCAGTATGTAATGAAATTTGGCATAGAAAAGTGTAAATGTTCTGGTAAATATTTTACTTGTTTGTAATATTTTATATCAAAAAAACAGCCCAATTGACATTCCCAATTTTGGAGGACAGCACCAAAGCAAGAACTTCCCTATGACCCCACCAGATTCTGATGGACCAGACTCCCCAGATGTAAACCAAGGTATAATTTCTATATCAGGATGGGACAGGGAAGGGGTGTGTTTTTTCTAAAATTTTCTTTTACTGTGTGCAAAGAGAGTAAGATTCGTTTTAACACATCTCAAGGTTTAACAGTGTAAAAGCTACAGGTCTTTGTTTACATTTTTTTTGGGGGGTGACTGTCAAATTTGTCTACTTACTTGTTGGAAAAAATCTATCTCCGTAATGAGCAACAATCCTGAAAGATTTCCCTCTATTTTTCCACCTGGGATGATCTATTAGTTATGAATATAATGTTATTTGATAACTTTTAATACTCCACAGTTCTGCTGCCTAATACACCAGGAAATCATCACATTATGCTATCATCAATTTCCCACTCTGGAGGAAGGCAGCCACAGCAAGGATGTCCCTTGAGTAGCTCTGAGGAATTGCCATTACAGTCTATCAGGTAACAGACATACTTGTGTGTAGATGGTCAAGTAAGCAAATGATGCTAAAAAGTAGCTTGTGTTCCCTCTAATCTTTTCATTGCATCCCATCTGTCCCATCCATTGTTTTTTATCACAATTCCCATTTGAATTTTCTTCCTACTCCTTCATCCTATCTGTTTCTCCTCCCAATTGTATCCCTTCCATTCTCTTTACCTTGCCTGTTTCCCTTTCATCCCATCCATCCATTTATCCCACCTGTTCCTCCCATTCCATCCTATTTCCCCTTATCCCTTTATCTTTTCTTCCCATTTGGTCCATTCTTTCAATCCACCCAATCTATCCATCAATATCAATCAATCAATCAATCAATCCTTTATTTAAACACGTGACACCTAGGAGTACAGAAGTTCTCGTTAAAACGTGTACATGTATGTACAATTAGAAAGAAAACATAATTTTAGTAAGAATATGAAATGATTCACCTTTTTTCAACTTAACAACAGCGTCTCTGAGCCAAGAAGGAAGAGGAAGAGAGATTCAGAGAGTAGTGAAACATTAACAACAAACAGAATGTCATCATTGAGGCTTAATTCTTTGAAATCAGAGCCAGGTAATCATCGTAACCAAAATAATGTGTAAGTGGCTGTGCTCTGTTGATTTTAAGATTGTTTTTTCTGTGTTTGGGTGTAAATGTTAGTGAAGTGTTAATGATTTCAGCAAACTACCAGGAAACCTGAGGTGGAGGGTAACCATTTATTCCCATTTGAGAGGGGGGTGGAAGCACAGTCACCTCATTTAGCAGAGACTAGGCTGAGCTCAATAAAAGTGGCTCACTGTACTTACGCAGAATGAACCTTGCCCAGTTGGATTGGATTAGATTAAGTTGGGGTTGAGTAGTTGAAAATCCACAAGGTGGCTCTCAGTATATTGTTTCCAGTGTTGAATGTAATTTCAAGTGTTTGTTTTATTAAGGTGAGAAAAACTGGAAAAAGCTGTAGAAAAATCCCCAGAGCAAAGTCAAGAAAGAGGAAAAAATTCAACCCACAGAACCCCTCCCTGCGCTTCTTACTGATTATTACTGAAATGCTTTTTGCAAGGATATTTGGGCAGGTATTCAATCATTTCCAACAAATATCTGATCATCTCTTTTCATTTTCCTTGCATAAGATGACTACTGCTTGGATGGTAGTGGCTCAGATTACCTTGACTCTCCTGATCCTTTTACCACCACGGCCACACCTGAGCTCGAAAACTACCAATGCCTAAAGTGGTCGCCCCACAAAACAGATGAATGCTGCAGCATGTTTGATGACTCTTCCCAAATGATGTGAGCCTTTTATTGATAGTATTAAACAACCTTTGGATGTGATAAGTGAATTGTATGTGGTGTAGGTGGTTATTATAATTGGAAGTTGTTAGTTGATATAGTGCCCTATATTGTGGGTTAGTCTCCTATGGAAATGATATAAGGGGAAAGCATATGCCTTAAAGGTAACAGCCTTTTGCTGTGTGGGATGGACCAAAAATCCTGAAGAGGTACCTATTCTATTAGTGGAACAAATTTCTAGATTTCTATTTCATTTGAATAATTCAAAAATTATAGTTGGTTTGAGTTTTTTTTTTTTTAGGTTTAAACAACATTTTACAGCCAAAAGCAGTTCCAATCGTCAAATCTAACCCCATGAACTATTTGTTTTTAATCCTTTAACTTCCAGGATCTGATTGTTGATTCTCCCTTCTAGCTGCTTCACATTTCCTTGCAAATTAATAATGAGTATAAAATTTCTGCCTGATAAGTTTGAGTATTCTTATCACCTGTTTACTAGATAATGTATGGATATTATAGGGAGAAGTTAGATTTCAATCACTTCAGGGAGTTAAGGGTTAAGGGGAAAAAATCCAGCCCCACCCCTCTCCCTCTCCCTCTTCCCAATCTGCATTCAAATGTATTGCTGAAAAACGTAGCATTCAGCCAAAACACTAAATGTTCCTGAGACTTGCAGATGTTTTTAAGAGATGAAGTGTTTGTTTTGATTATAACTGCAGTTTATGTCTCTTTTTCAGTCCTCCACCTCAGTTTAGAGTAGATGCTGACAAAGGTTTCAATTACTCTTTTGTGGATGAAGCTTTTGTTTGTCAAAAGAAAAATCACCTCCAGGTGTGTGATGCTGTGTGTACAGCACTTTTGTAAACCTTACTAACAGTCCTATACAGAGATGTTATGACCCAAGGGCGAGATGGGTGAGAATACTGGACTGTGAATAGACAGTTTTGAGTCTTAAAACTACTGTGTTCTTGTGTGAGACACTTAAAGTTAAGAGTAGCAGTGCCTCTCTCTGCTCAGGAGTTTGAAGTGAACTCTTCAAAGAAACCTGCTGAGGAAAATACTGGAGAGTTACTGCTGCACTGCAATGGACTGGCATCKAAGGTGGGGGGAGGCTAGCAGTATTCCTTGTCAGTTTATTCAATTCTTTTGATATTTGGAAAAATTCTAGCCCTGTGAGGGACTTCAGACTCTTTTAAGTTTTAAATTTAATTTAAGTGGCACTTTTAGGAATTTTGATAAAAAAGGGATCATTATGACGGTTAAAACTTTTTGAAAGAGTATCTGAAGGAAGTTAATTGAATTGTAGCTAAGATCTTATGAAGTTAATTTGAACTTCAACAGTTTGAAAAAGGCAAGATTCATGTACACCACTGCACCTGGAAATGGAATCACTTTACAATTTAGTGTGTAAACCAAGAACAGTTATATGATTGCAGAGGGTAAAATTTGATGAAAACGAATATTGATTAATTGAACTCAAAATTGTAAAAAATTTAAAAATCTAATGGTGGTTGTAACGATTTCTTTTAATAAAAAAAATTTTTCTTAATTGTGACACTTGCTCTATTCACAGATAACAGCCTTCGTGAACCTTCAATCTGCCCAAACACCCAAATATGTCCAAGGAGAGGTTTGTAATTTTTTTTTTGTTCATCTGTTGTCTTTGTTTACACAGTCAGAATCATTGCAGGTAGAATTTAAACATGTCCCTCTGATTTGTCTCCTTTAAGCAAAAAGAATTAAGACGAATTGACAAGTTTCGGCTATGCATTTATGGAATTAAGGTATGCTAGCTACTTTTGTTTCACTAAGATTCATTTGACCTGTATGGCCTAGCTTGCACATGTGTATGAGGATTGTGTGTGATGGAGCAAGTAGGGCTGAAAAGACATATGGCCCTATGTACAGCACTTGGACATGCTGGAGGAAAACATTTGAAAAAAGAAAGGAGGAAAAGGAAAGAGCAGTGATTATTTGATAGAAATCTATTGTCTGACTTAGGTTGGGCTGGAATATTTGGTTCATGATCGTAACAATTGAACCTCACCCAATCTTTTACTTGTCCAGCTCTCCCACTCAGTCAATATATATATATAGGTCCTTAACATTTAAGCTGGGTACTTTCCTAGTATGCAACAACTTATTGATAGGGCCATGCATTTTAAAATCACAAGCAAAATTGGCCTTTAACAATAAAAAATTGCGATAAAACATTTCTTAAAATCATTTTAAGATTAAAAAATTCCTAAAAGACGACGGCATTTCGACGTTAGCTATCTAGTCCAAATATGTTTGCAAGTTCCAGTCTATAAATACTTGAAAAGCAATAGCTGATTACAGGGATGTAGATAATAGCCGGAAGCCGGGAAAACTACCCGGCTGTGAACGCGATTTTTCCGGCTGTAAAGCAGTACTTCTTTCTCCAAAATGTTTTTAAATGTTGTCAGAAGATTGTTATTTATTTATTTTGTTTGTTTACACCTTCATTGCTGTCTTACCTGAAATAAAAGGATTGTAAACAATCCATTTTGTGCGACGATCGCATCATTCGCATCGCATCCTCCATTTTGCAGGCTCAATGGCCAGCGGTATTCGTACTTCATGTATGCAAAATAATGAATAAAAATACCCAAATACCCAAGCCCAATATCCGCCTATCATTGCTAGATTCCCGCCTGTTAAAAAATTTAGCTACATCCCTGTGATTAAAAACTGTAATGTGAGAAAAAGATGATTAGAAATATTAAACAAAAAGTTTCACATATGGAGGCCGTCTGGATATTTAAATTAGGCTTAAGATTCTTGATGAGGAGCATTTCAAATTAGGGAAGATTTGTCAATACAACTAAAAATTTAATGATATACAAGTGTGCTGGATTTGTACTAAACAATCAAATTTACCCAGGTACTTTCTGAAAACTGTGAATTGGCTTTCTTTCAAGAGGTTGTTGTTACCGTGAGTTTCTAAGAAATGTCTACAGATTGGCAAATTTTTGTGCCCAGCAATGCGTTGAAGGTGTCGGGCTGTGTATCTGAAAAAATTGGCCTTGCTCTTAAAATGTGGCCTTGTAGATAAGTTGTTGGTGGTGCCCAACAGGTAGGCACAAACTTAAATCCCATCAAAGTGTGAAGTTTTTCAGGCTTTGCCAGTAGTTTTAAGGCTTCATTTAAACTACATTATTCATTGTTCTTCAACATGCTACTGAATGGCAACACATGAAGACAACCAAAGAAAATTAAAACTTTACCCCTCAAATTAGGGAAGATTTGTCATTACAACTAAAAATTTAATGATATACAAGTGTGCTGGATTTGTTGTTCTATGAATTAATTCACATATTCCTTACTTTAAACCCTTATTTGTTTGCTTTGACTTAGATGGAATCTAAAGCCAGTCAAATTGGTGTTGAACAATCTCAAGCTGACAGAAGCAAGAGACACTATGAACCACTGCAGTAAGTGATTTTCTCTGCATTACTCTGCTCTGCTTCACAAAGACTCTTGAGCATTCCAAGGACATTTCTGAAGACATATGGTGACAGAGCTTTTTTGGCTGCTGGCCCCAAACTGTGGAACGAACTACCTTTATCACTCAGATCATCAAACACTTTGGCTGTTTTCAAAAAGGACTTGAAGACTTAGGCCCAGTTCAGACGCCGAACTTTTCATGAGCCTAACTCAATTTGAATTTGGACTGACCCAAATTAACAAAAGTACGCCTGTTGATTCAGACGCCGTTATTTTTGGCCGTTCCAAATACAGTTCCAGTAAAACTAGTCACATTACTTGCAAAATACATTGTAATAGTTTATGCATTAGGATCGGCACATGAAAAGTACGAGGTCTGAATCAAAGCTGTTCCAATGGCGTTCCAAAGGCGAAATTGTCGGCCAAGCCAGGTGGGAAGAACGGGTGAGCCTTTCCAAATTGAAATAGCCGTTCCAAATTGATTCAGAAAGGGACTGCCTTGTATACAATGCATAGTTTGGTAACACTTCATGCTTTTAACTTTCAGATTTGACATTTCACCAAAAGAACAAACAAAGATTACAGTTGGAAGACTGCATTTCAGGTATTGCGTTGAATTATTTTTCTGCAATCATAAAGAAGTGTGACACTAATTGAGAATCTATTTAAACTTTGAATGAATGAACAGATTAATTGTTGCAGCAATGGAAACTTTTACCTTTCGCCACTGTTGTTCTTATTTGATTCTTAAACCAAACATCATGGGATGAGTTTGTAGGTGTTTTATCCTCATTCTGAGGATTTTTTCCCTCTAGTTTCTGGTTGTCTTTCTTCTGCAAAAACTAACAATTCATTTCAGTTCAACTGGGAAACAAAGGGCAAGGTGCAAATTTGTGGATGTGTAACTGAAATATTAAAGAAAAGATGTTCTACAGCTACATCAAAGATTTCTTGCTATATATTAATTAAAATTGGAAATTACTTTTACATGGTCTTTGTTATTTGGGTGAGTCTAAGAAATCTATACAAATTCATTTATGGATGATACTTATTGAGCAAGTTTTCCATCAGTGAAACAACAGCAAACAATATGAGAAAGAAAGGGAAACCAAATCCTGATCAGAGGTAAGTTCAGGAATTGCTACCACTGATAAGCTTGATATAACACAAAATTGACTTTACTCACCTCTATTATTGTTGACCCTTTTACTCTCAGATCTCACTAGTAATTATCCTTTCTGTCATCATACAATTCTTTTGATGTTAGTTCAGAGAATGTCATTAGATCAACTAATGATCCCCTAACTGATGTTTTTCTTTGATCCCATCTCTGGTCTGCTTGATATTGTTTTGATATATTGTAAGGAGGAGATCTGTCCTGGTCACTCATTGGAACTTACTGTAAGGGTTAAATTACCTTCTGTTTTAGATACTTCCTGCTTGTTGTTGCTGTGTATGCTCATGCCAAAAACAAGGAATTTTTAGTGTGTGCAAATGTGTCAGAAAGGATCATTGTTAGGGTGAGAAAGTTGTCTTTTATCTATCATTTATCATTTATTATTAAAATGTTATTATTATTGTTACTATAGTTAATTTTGTGAAATACAATCTCACCAAGTTAAATTTCACATGAGCTTGGAAGGTTCCTTTGGTCAACTGTCAAAGTAGCAAGTCCTGATTGTTTGCCTTTGATTTTGCTAGGCTTCAAATCCTGGCCAGTTTGAGAATGACATGGAAGTTGTTTGGTCAAGAGGGCAAACGACAGACTCAGTTTACCGAATGGTATGATAATAAAAACGATTTTTTTTTATTAATATATTTTGCTTATGTGGAGAAAGTACTACCAGGCATTCGCCAATAGGTCGGTTTTGGACAGTCGAACTCCAATTTCCTGCGCAAACTTATAAAGGAAAATATGAGATGACAATTTAAGATGATTCGTAGTTCTCGACCTTGCTGCAAGTCTTCCAGTTTTCCTTAATCCAAAAAACCAGCACTCAATATTACAACTTTCCTTGGAAACGGTAGATGAAGAACGCTTTTTTATGCTTGTGCTACAGCCAAAATCCAATGTATTTATCTATATCCTGATGTTCTAGTGTTGCACGTGTAAAGCTTTTCTGGAATCTCTGTGAAAACCATTGAGTGCCTAGCCAATTTTTTACTTTTGTTGTTTCAGGGTCGTGTTGGAATCAACACTGACAGGCCAGAGGAAGCATTATCAGTTCATGGGAATCTAAAGGTCACTGGTCGCCTTGTGCATCCATCGGACATAAGAGTCAAGGAGAGCATAGAGGAGGTGAAGTGCTATATATTTAAACCGTCTGTCTTTGGCAGATGGAGTTAAATGTTAAGAAATGCTACCACATTTCCTTGACCAAGAAGCGATCCGTTGTCATATACTACCATATTACATGCATAGTCAGGTCTTGGAACATGTAACTTCCTATGATTATCTGGGTGTTAGATTAACGAGCAAGCTAAATTGGAAAGAACACTGTGACAAAACTTCCAACAAAGCCAATAGGGCTCTCGGGCTGGTCAAACGGACTTTACAACCGTGTACGCCCGAAGTCAAGGAAAGAGCCTACAAAGCAATTATTCGACCTCTACTAGAATATGCAAGCGCTGCCTGGAATCCACACACAAACAGGGACACTGAAACTATCGAAAAAGTCCAGCGACGGGCTGCTCGTTTCGTCGCACACAATTACAAGAGATCTACAAACTCACAAGATCTTGTAAATCAACTTGGTTGGGACTCCTTGGAATCCAGACGTTTGCTGGCCCAAGTGACTCTTTTTTATAAAATCAAAAATAATCTCATAGATCTTGAATTCCCACCTTCTATCCAACCAGCTCCTAGACCAAGGATCCAACATGCCATGCTCCAGCCCCACACAAGTGTTTTGGCGCACAGTTATTCTCCGTTTATACAAACTGTTCGGGTATGGAATAAACTGTCAACTCAAACAGTCCAAGCTAAGAACATTACTTCTTTTAAATCATTAGCCATAAGGCACATTCAGAACATGAAGACCCCGAACCACCTGAAAAGATTTTGAACTATTTACATTTATTGTTTCTTTTAGACTTTACATATGTATCGTAGATTATTAGCACTATCAGTTAGTTATTCTATATCTCCCAGCGTTAGCCTAGCTATTTGGGAGTGTAAGTTCTAAGTTCCAATGTAGTCCCTTTTGTGGGAGATTGGTTACATCTGGCCAGATTAGGGGCTGATCATAAGGTGACGAGAGGTCAAAATCTGCCCAGAGGAAGCAAAATCACAGGTCAATTCCGGCTTATTAGAGCATTTTTACTGTTGTGTCGAAAAGCCAAGACCAAACTAGTTATCCCAGCGACCAATTGGCCAATGAGAATTCAAAGTGAAAACAAGGAAACTGCTTTTAGCGCGGGAAAACGGAAGTGACTGAGTCGCGTTTGTATCTGATTGGTTGAGAGGATGGCGCGAGTTTTATAGACCAATCACAGTGCAAAGTTATGTAAAACCACAGCAATCCCAGATGACCTTAGACACTCAAATTGGAAATTGTTCTAGGGCAAAACTCATGGTGATATCTGGTTTGCTATCTTGAAATTCACCTGCGGCCTCTCTGGGAATCATGGCTCTCCATTTTGTTCATGGGACACCGCCAACGAATGGAAAGTGATTTTTTGTGCTTGCATACCTGTGCAAAATCTAAGAAAAATAACACCACGAGCCTGCAGTGCGAGCGATGACGAACAATGTAGCTTTGATGAAGTTGAATGGAAGCCATGAAAAAGTTAGCTCTTTGACTGAGTGTCTGACTGATTGACTGACTTACATGTCACTTTTTCTCTTCAGGTGGATACCAGAGAGCAACTTAGAACTATTTCCAGAATCAATCTTTACAAATACCGCTTCAGTCGCGAGTATTTAGAGCACGCAGGTTTAAGAGCAAGTGACTCTGAGGGGGAGGACACAGGGGTTCTGGCACAGGAAGTAAAAGAAGTCTTACCAGAGGCTGTGAAGGAATCAGTGAGTGGGTTATATACCTATATCGTTCAAATGTTGGCACCTTGTTCCCACGGTAGGCCACGCAGGAAACGTTATGCTCCAACGTTGGTAATTCAGTATATAATTTGGACTGGGAAGTTGAAGTCCATTCGTGTATAGTGTGACCGTTGATATGAACACCGGCTATTGATCTGTGGAATCGTGAAAGAATTCCATTTCAGAAACTGTCTTAAAAATAGCGTGGCTGACAAGTTAGATAAGCTTGAAACATATTAGCTGGGACCATCATTAACAATAAGTATGGTGAACTATCGGTTGATAGTAAAAAGTAAATGGGAAATGTCGGTTTTCCTGTAAAACTTGAACCATATTACTAAAAAAAAAAACAGAAAAAACACAGAAAGACTTCACCACTTACTCAATTATCGACAAGTGTCTTCTAGCCCAAACTCGTATTTAAGAAACTCCTTTTAGAACCATTTTATCATGAAATAAATATCTAACCTTCATCGTGAATACACAACATATCTAGAGTTTGTTACTTGGATATGACAACAACAACAACAACAACAACAACTTTATTTGCACCCCTGAATTAAATTAAATTTACATTACAAAAAAGTAATAAAACAAATAAAATAAAGTGCATAGCTGCCCAAAATAACCACCAGGCTAATAGAATTGAGCAGCCATCTTTAGGATTTCAAATACTGTAATGACTAACGGTGTCGGGTACTTAAGACTTTTTAAAGTAACACATACACTGACAAACACAGAAACACAGAAACAAAAACTAGTTACAAGCTAAAAATACAAATTAGCGAAAATAAGCAAGAAAAAACAATATGTATAGGCAGATTAACTGACGGAAGAAAGAAAATGTGTGGTAAAATTAAGTCAGTTAGTAACTTACAAGAATACTTGATTTTAACTTTTTCTTAAATTGTTTCAGTGATAGAAGCTTAATTTCATCACTGATTGCATTCCAAACCTTAGTGCCTTGACAATGACACTTACTATGCATCATTGATATTTTACATTTTTGCCAACATTCCTCTTGACTAATTTCTCCAGGAAGATGTCATTTTACCTGATGGAAAAATGATTGAGAGATTTTTGGTTGTTAATAAAGTAAGTTTGACCAATGATTCCCTTGAAATATGCCAAAACAATTAACTAATGAGATGAGTAGATTGTCAAGGGAGCTTTTGTCGGTTAAACACTTAGACGTAGTACATACAGGACATTTCAGCCGTCAATTCACTGTAAGGAGTTACTGTCAAAGTTGTCTGACCACGAATCCTTTCATCATAGCTGAAGGTTGCGTCACATGTTACAAAATACGAATTAAGTTCTGATGAATTATGCTCCTTTGAATTCAAAAACAAATTTTTTAACTGATTCCCTTTATGGATTGCGTCCCAGCGCGGATGCTTCCAGTTCGCCTGGGAAATCCCTACGGAGAATTATCTTGCTCAGAAGTACAAAGCACACACCGTTTGGGCCTGAAACCACGTAGTAGATCAGTGTTCTTTTGTTTTCATGCTTTTGACAATGCTGTTTGTTTCCGTAGGAAAGAATCTTCATGGAAAATGTTGGTGCGGTCAAAGAGCTTTGCAAACTGACGGTAAGTAAAAACTTATACCCAAAGAAAGCCTCTCAATTGTCCGTAAAGCGAGAGGGCGTATATTGAGCTTAATTGTCATATTGATATCCTGCATAAGAAATGCTGCAAGTTATTCATGTCACGAAATGATATTTTGTTACTTGTAACTCTTGCAGGACAATCTGGAGGTTAGAATAGACGAGCTGGAAACAATAAATCAAAAATTACAAAGAAAACGCTGTGATACCGTTAGCACGTTCAGTAGTTTGAGCTTGTCGAGGTGTAGTTCTTTCAGGTGAGTTCGCCAGATCTGCCAGTACTGCTATATGATTTAATAATTTAGAGGGTGCGCGCTATCATAACAGAATGTTTTGGTAGGAAAGTAGGCGTTTAATGTAGGTTGGGAGGATTGTTCGAAGGTGTAGTTTTGGCGGGAATTTGCAGCCACTGACGAGAGTTTTTCTGGTGGAAACAGAGAGGCAGCCGTCGGCGCGAAGATATTTTAGTGTTGCGAGAACAGACCAAATTCTGGAAAGGGAAGAAAGGCCATGTTATCTTGGCCAGGGCTTGCCATACAAATTTTTCTTTCGTTCCGTTTGTATTTCATATCTCTTGTCATCATTTTATTTAGTTATAGACCTTAAGGATATTTGAAATGGCTGACCGACTTAGCCCTGAAGGGAAGAAGTTTTAAGTTATAACCCCATGCAACATTGAATTTGGATCTCTAATTTGTACAATTACATCAATCCTGCAGAGCATCGATCAGCAGCAAGAAGCCAACTCCAGAACGAAAAAAGAGATGCCATCATCACCATTACTGCCACTATCATCATCACCACTGCGCATGTGTACGTACCTCTTATCTTTAGAAAGGGAAAATTTTCTATTAAGATGTCTAAAGTAACCGGGGATTGCTTCGGTTTAGCTTTACTCCGTCGCATGATTGGTCTAGAAAGCTCGCGCCACTTTCTCAGCCAATCGCGATTGGGTCACCTGCGTTTTCCCGCGCTTCGGTTTAACTTCATTCCTCCGCATGATTGGTCTAGAAAACTCTCGCAACGGTCTCAACCAATCAGATTCAAAACTCACTTAAATCGCGACTGGGTCACCTGCGTTTTCTCGCGCTTTAGAAAATTGTTTTAGTTCTGATTGGCTTCTTTTGACACTTCGTTTTGATTGGTTGTTGTGATTACATTGGTTTTGGTTTTACGACACTCAATCGAAATACTTATAGAAATAACGTGAAAGCAAGCAAACTGCATGGAGCACGGGTTAAGTTAATAGGTTAAAAGTTAAAGCCAAAGTTAAAAGTTATCCTTGGCTTTAATTTCTCATGAAGAAGAGCGTGTATAAGAGCCAAGGTTTTGTTGGGTTTTGTCTCAATAACCGTGTATTGAACAACCTGGTCCTGGATTTTTGTTTCCCAACAGAGGCCTCACGGAGTTGTTCATGATGAGCCAGGATGGTGCTCGCCCAGGTTCATGCAGATTGTTGTCGTGTCTCTCATATTCGCCGTGGTTCTCTGGTAAGATGAAAATTTTGGCTCTCGAGGTCAAATTCGCAATTCTCCCTTCCAGATGCCTCACATTTCCTTTAAATCAGTTAAGAAAACTTGAATTCTTATCATGTCAACATCCTCAATTTAATCGCTGCGTCTTTCGCATCCTTTCCCAGTTTGACTGTGATGATTACTAGCCAAAGAATATCTTGGCAAGAAATTCTCTTGCTGCGCATTTGTTATATGTGTCAGTATAATATTGAATGCAATTTTTTGTTTCTTATATTTTGTACAGTGTAATAGCTTTCCTAAAAGGCTTATTTTAGGTATAATTTGACGAGGTAAAACTATTAATTGAACGTTTCTTCTTTTTTCTTTTTGACACAGCGTTGTTGGAATAACTGTTGTCGTATCTGTTGGAAAAGGTTCAATCGATAAAGACACTAGAAAAGGTTCAAACGGAAAAGACGGAGTCCACGGGGTCAACACGAACAGCACAGAGTCACCCAGTTTGCCAACGAAGATACCTCCTTTTCCAAACTTTACCTCGATTACACCATCTCCGCTTGAAAATAAGACAGTTTCCTTGACACCACATTTTAAGAGCTCAACTACGCACGAAAGGAAACGCAGCACAGAGGCTGAAACTTCCCATACCTTGACTACACACGTCACCTCGACAACACCAAGGCAGACTTCAGTGTCACATGGTAACTTTCTATAAAATGTGTCAAGCTACTAGGTGTTCGTAGATTGGTTCTTAGGAACCAGTCTCGTTGCATATCCCCTGGGGGTGATTGAAGGTTTTTTTTGTAGGGGGAGGGGAGTTTGATCAAGTGGTTTTCTTGAGGGAACGGAGGGGGGATCATTCGTCGCCAACAGAGTATAAAGGGAGGAATAAAGATTGTTAATTGCCAATGAGGGAGAATCATTAGAAAATGACAGAGCCTTATAAGGGGAGGAGGTTAATTTTATCGCGCGGAAGGAAGCTCTCTTTAATTGCGAATTGTTTTTCTGTGCAATTGAAAAAACCCACCGTTTTGTGGCTCCTTTTAGAAGGTGCAAAGCTGTGTTTTTATTTTATAAAGCTTACTTAGAAAACCTGGTTATGTGACGAGCTGCGTGAACAACTTTTTCTTCTTTCGCGCACCTGGTACCATAACAAGAGGGAACGGTAACAGAATATTGGAGAATGTTAGCGGAAAGATTGTTGTGTAATTCCCATTTCTAGTATTCTTGAAGTGCCCGGCAGCTAATTTTGAGAAGTGCTACCTTTATATTAAACGCTATCTAAACGTTCGAAAGGTCCACCATAATAATGCACGTTTTCAATTTGAAATTAGTGATCTTTTAATTTGGTGCTGAATGCGTTGATCATCTCGCCCATTTGCAGACAGAAAATCGCCCGATACCTCTTCGGCAACTACTCACACGCCCAAGAATGTCCACGAAACGAGCGAGAGTTACTCTACTCGTAGAAACTCACCAAAATCGAGGCGATGCTGTCAACGGAGAAACACTGATCTACAGGAAAGACTGCTTAGAGACAAACAGGTGTATTTCGGGAGCCCCACCCAACCCGGGAGTAAGTACTTGCTCCGTATTTGCTTTTGCTTAAGCGTAACATTTCTCAGTCTCAAAAATTTGTTCACAACTGATGAGAACCTTACAACAGGAGGACATCTCTCTAAGATTGTTAAGAAGTATTTAGTTGGTTAAGTCATGATTTAGTCATTTGTTTATTTTTAACATGTAGTTACTGTTTGATTTCGAAGTTATTTGGGTTTGAGCTATCGCGATTAGTTTTCAAACTGGCTATCTTGACTAACTACCATCGGTAGACAAACTACCAGTTAAATCTCGAAGTCGTCTGATACATCGAGTTATAACATAACCAAAGTAAAGTGCGCGCTCTGATTGGTCAATTTAGCGTCCTCCATTTGCCCATGGGTGTACGCTGCTGACGTGAGCAAATGCAAAGACTATTTTTCTGCGCGCGCTTGCTTTTTCTGGTCACGTAAGATTTGTTAACTAAAAGGGAACTCTTTCCCTCGCCTCGAGCGACTCTTACGCTTCTTTCGTGCTTAGCAACTTCCCGCGTGCATCCATAACTCAATAGTATACGCTGTGGTGTTTACCAATTGTTAATTAGGTTACTGAGTTAAATGTGGCAGTGATTTAAAAGCGTTTTCTTAGAGCTGAAACTTTTTCCCCTCTTTTATGTTCTTCTACCATGGAAATATAGGATCACTCACGTTTTCTGGGAAACCATTCGATTTTAAATCGTTACGATTTAGAAGTCACTCGATAAACGATTTATAGCGAGACTTGTTTGTTTTTGTTTGTGAATAGAAACGAAACTCGTTTGTAGAAAGGAGACTCGTTTGTAGAGACGACACACGTTTGTAGAAACGACACATTTGTAGAAACGAGACTCGTTTGACGAAACGAGAGTCATTTTGTGAAACGAGGCTCATGTGACAAATTTTGCTCTTGGCGCATGCGCAGATGTATAGATTTTCCCAGGGTAAAGTTTTAGGTTCAAGATTAGCTGGGATTTTGCTGCAATACGTTAAGGTAATCTCTATTTTCTTTTTCTTGGGATGGTAAAGTACAGGAAAGGCCTTCACCGATATTTTTATAGAGCTTGTAAATTTCAGCGCATATAGTAGCACTGAAAATTTGTGTCGAATTAAGTTCAAAGCTTGGGATCCTGTCCCATTACTAAAGTTACTTCATTCTTCCACAACAAGAGGGAAGCCAGAAATCAAAACCATGAAAGATGTAAATTTTGATAAATAATAATTAAATATTCATTATGCAAGGAATATTTCATCATATTTTGCTGTTTTAGACTTTTTTCCCCTTTAAGTACCTTATTATAGGAAATTAACAATGCCTGTTAATTTTATGTATCTTAATTTACCTCATTTTTAATTAAAATTACGTTAATTTAAAGCATCGTTATTTTATGACACCTTTATTATGAGCAAAGCTACAATTCCTCTACGTCACTGTCAGAGTCGGTGTACGCATCGTCATTTAATATTAAATTCAAAATGTCCTTAGATCCATCAGTGTAGCGATCGTCTTCTCCGAGGGAATAACTCACTTCTTCAACTTTCTTGCGCAAAATGTCTTCCGCATTTTTGTCATCCCATTTCACAGTCACCGCAATAGGTATTTCTAATCCACCTTGAACAAGTGGAGATGGCTTATATTTTATCGCAGTGACCTCTCCTTTTATGACAGCTTTTCTCTGCAGTGCGTGCCAAATATATCGCCTCAATTCTATTGGAATATGTCCGACAGTAGAAGGAAATATGGTTCCTGGCAATATTGTTTGCCCAGCAACTGCAAACTGGTCGTGTTTATTGTCTTTCTCTTGCTTGAACGTGAGCTGTTGCTTTAAAAATGGTTTCCAGCTTGTGCGATACACGTGATAACCTCTTAAAGCAGTGTTGAATTTCAATGTGGGAATAATTATGCAACATACCACACGGAAATTCGCGTTAATTAAATGTATGTATACATAACTTTTGGAAAATTCGCGTTAAATTTATGACGCGTAAATTTTGTTCGCGTTATTAACATGCTTCGTTATATTCCTATAATAAGGTAAAACAATTATTGGACTCGGTTCTTGTGATATCCAGAATAATTAAGGTCNGGAATATGTCCGACAGTAGAAGGAAATATGGTTCCTGGCAATATTGTTTGCCCAGCAACTGCAAACTGGTCGTGTTTATTGTCTTTCTCTTGCTTGAACGTGAGCTGTTGCTTTAAAAATGATTTCCAGCTTGTGCGATACACGTGATAACCTCTTAAAGCAGTGTTGAATTTCAATGTGGGAACGGCTTCATCCGTACTTGTACCACTCATTATTTCACTGGCCTACTGAAATGAAGAACCGAGCTCTTTAGGCTTGTACAGCGATTACCTTTATCTTCAATGGTCAACAGTTTTCCGGTCTGAGGGGGAACACGTGAAGACTGGAATTTGCGATCCTGTGAGGAAACATGCCGTTTCCGAGACGGAAAGCCAGTAAAGTGCAAGATGTGATTTGATTGGTGGATTTCGATCCTTCGTGTTCAATTTTATATGAGCGGGGAAATCCGCAAATTTCTTAAGCGCAAACGCACCAGACATGTCAATCCTAATGTATTTCACAAGAGAGGGATCAAATACACAAGGCATTATTCTTCCTTAGCAGAGAAGAATCTGGAGTTTTTCATTCAGAATATGTCAGCATAGTCACAGAAGTGCAATCTATGCCGCAAGTCAAGAGAAAGAGAAAGACCTACCGCGAAGATAAGAAAATTAAAATTGCCAAATATGCCAACAGCCATGGGACCGTAAACGCTATAAAACATTTTAGACACGACTTCCCAAACCTGACTGAAAGCACTCTACAACCCTGGGTGGTTAAGAATCGACTTGAAGAGAAAAATACGAGTTCGAGTGACTGTATTCAAATCTCTGAGAGAAGAGGGAGATCCTCACTGCTGCCTGATGAGCTTGACAGAAAGCTCCGAGCGTTCATTGTCAGCACAAGGATTGCAGGACGGACTATCAACAAGCATGTTATTTATGGCATTTTGATGGGTCTCATTAAGAGTGATCTCGGAAGATATGGTCAGTATTTAAATTTTGTGATTACCAACGGTTGGTTACAGTCCCTGTACCAGAGAATGAACTTGACTCGAAGGATTGTAACCACGTCAAGGCCTGCTATCACCAAAGCAACTTGGCTCGAAGTAAAGGCAACGTTTCTACATGATATAGTGTCCGCTATAGTTGAAGATGAAATTCCCGATGAACTTATTCTAAATGTTGACCAAACACCGTCTAAGTTCCTACCGACGGATAACGTCACGATGGCAGAGAAGAGTTCTAAGCATGTATCCAGAAAAGGGAGTAGTGACAAACGTGGAATTACTGTTACTTTGGCGGAAACGTTAACAAATATTACCATTTCAACTCATTTACACTGGTAAGACAAGCCGTTCACTGCCGCAGGTTGAATTTCCAGCCGGGTTCTTTTTTTAGTTACAATGAAAAGCAATGGCTCTGGTAAATAAAATAATATACCCGTATGTCACTAAAGTCAAAGGAGAGTTAGGCCTCCCTGAAACTCGAAAGGCATTGCTAGTATGGGATGCGTTCAACGCACAAAGTACAGATAAAGTCCTGAGCGAGCTGGAAAGGCTGAACATAAACGTTGTCGCAGTACCAAAGAACGTGACTCATCTGTTACAGCCTTTGGATCTAACAACAAACGCATCTGTCAGCAACAAAAATAGTCCATGGGCCAAAGTAGGTTCTCATCACCACTCAGGGGGGGCGAAAATGAGAGTGTTACCTGAATCAGTATCTTTAACATAATACATTATTGGCTCAGAGCCACAATTTTACGATTTTTATTTGAAAGAAAACTAAATCAAAACATAGTGAAACTCGAAAGGCATCATGAATAATTTACCCAGATGGCGGCATCGCTGCCTGGTAGGTGCATTGAAATTCTTGTGCAACCTCCATGTTTTTATGGCGTACTTTGCCCAAAATCTAGAGTGATTATAGGCTTCTAAAAGTCAAAGCTTATTAAAAAGAAAACAAAATAAATACTAAGTATTATTTTCTGCTAATTAGCTTACATACTTAAAAATATTCGAAAGCTGGTTATCGAATGTGAACAAGTCATTTTGCCATCACAAATCTTTGACTAATATCTTGAGTTTCTTCGATCACATCTATTGCAAAATCCAAGGCTTATCAGCTGTTTGATCTGAGAGAAGCTGACGTCTTACATGCTCTTGGATAATAGAAAGCTTCTATTACAACATTTCTACATCTCAAATCAAGGAAATTCAGCAAGCTTAAGCTGGCCTGTACTTCTGTGATGCACTTCACCCAAATATTAGTAAGATGTCATGGCCTCCGAAACCTACCGAGCTATGTGATAGTGCAGTCAAACTTTCAGAAGAACTAGATGCGTTTCTATACTCTCCTAACTGGCAACACACACATCTCAGCAGAATATTCTGATCGCGTCCGGCGCCTTGTTACCTCTTTTGGCCAGGACATTATTTAAGGAGTTACGGCAGGATTACAAAAACCATCCAAGCAAATACTGTTATCGTATGCCGAACAATGTTCAACTTATCCAGATGCCACACGGATGGGGGCACGAGATCGTTCCTTTGCCTGAAACTATCAAGCCATATATCAACGCAACACTCCCGTGGGATAATATAGATAGATTGGAGGAGACCCTTTCTGGCGCGGGAACTAAAAAGCCAGTGGCTAGAATGGATTTAACATTTCTGTCCTTAATGAGGTTCAACTGTCTCACTGGCTGTCAACAGGTATCTCCCGAGTATGGATGCACCTGCTACGGACATGGCTACCGTTCACAAGGTTCTAGTGCAGTCCCTCGAGGTAAAGAACACGCTCAACTTAAAGAGCATCGTCTTCGTCTTTGACTTAACACTGTATGCAAAGGCAAGCGAGGGACAATGGAAACAAAGCGCGAAATTTAAAGATATGGTTATGAAAATGGAAGTCTTCCACTCAGCATGCACCATG